ATTATTTGCTGGAAGTAAGGACACGTCAGAGCCGGTATCGACCAAGAATGAAAGGTTTGTTCTACGGTCACGAACGAACAGGCGACGTGAAACTTGAGGCAAAGAATAAGTCGCCTCTATTCTTTGCTGGTTTCGTTTCCCTGCCATGAACAAGGTTTTGTACATTTGTCATCTCTACACTTTTTCCCAAAACGTCTATGATACCAGCAAACAGAATAATCTCTCCTTTTGGAATTGCTTCTTTCCTTATTGCGATCTCCGCGATTTGGCGAGCGACCACGAGAAAGAGAAATGCGATCAATACGTTTGTTTAATTTTTCTATTTGTTTAAATAATTTATCCTCAAGAGACTGATCGACTGTGCGAGAAACGGCACAAGTCCCTGGGGTTGGATTTACTTCTAAAATTCTGTCGGCAATTTCTGCAGCTTTATCTACAGTTAAATTGGAAACCGCTGCCAAAATAGACTGAACAGTCGAAGGCAAACGTTGAAGGAATAATTCTAACATTAAGTTATCAGGAACATTTAAAGATTCTGCTCGACGTTTCATATTTCTAAGCAAATCGGAAGGTTTTCGAGAACCTAATTCTTCTCCAGATAATAATTGGCGAATTTCTTGCTGAGAAGATTCTCCTGAACGATTTATTAACTCAGTTTTAAGCTTTGCATATGGATCAATAGGGTCTGGTTTCATAAGTAAATCCCGTACTAGTGATGCGATATCTGGAGGAAGATGAGCAAACTACATAATTATATTTAGTAATGGATTCTGTGATAGGTTTGGGGGTGGCAAGAGCAAAGGTACTTTCACACATAATAAACCATAAAGATGGGTCTGATCGGTTATAAACCGGAATTTGGACGGCATGAACATCAGACATTGTGCAAGGTTTTTAAGCCAAAATAAAAGCAAAAATTTAACTAAAGAAAATGAAATTAAATGATAAGTAGAAAACAGAATTATAAAATGATCTATAATTACTACTCATCTGTGATTCGGAGGATGAAAACCGATGTAATCCATTACTTCTGGTTTGGAGATCTTGAGTGATGGCTTGTAGTCAAAACCGAAAGTGCTTGAGAACTGTTCATACGATTTAACACAGTCCGGGTTACCATTATGGTGATTTCCGGTTATGTTTTTACCACCAATCCTCGAATTCCATATCACAGATTATGTTCTTACTGCATTAATATAAATATTAACAAGACATAGTGCACAATAAAAATTAAACTTTATTTAGGAACATCGCGCATACTCCCCGACAGCCTGCCTGTTTCGCTCTGCTCGCTACTCGTAAGAAATTTCTCCTCTAGGGTTGCCACACTTATCGGAGGGCGCAAGGCGCGCTCCTTATCACCATCACCACATATGAACATTTAACAGATAGCAGGGAACAGTATGAGAAAAAAATCGGTGAGGTATATTATTTAAAGGCGAAAATATATTTAAGCGATCGACAAAAAAGGGAAACGAAAAGATCCGAGAGGGAAGTAGAGCGATGCTCAAAATCCCCAATTTTCCCTCTCATGAGATTCCTCAAAACAAGATAGGGGGGGCACTTTGTAGGTGGTGGCAGACGTGAACTGATAACGTTGGCGTCTGTTTGGAATTGTAACTACAAAGGAAGCCATAAGCAACGAGCAATTTCAAGTATTGTTTAATGCTAAAAACTGATGAAAAATTAAACTTTATTGATTTAAAGGCACTTATTTATAGAAATTTGATTTAGTTTAGATGAAAGAAGGGTACTTATCTTAAAATTCCAGGCTTTCGTAGTATATCCTCACATTGTCCGCTGTTCCATTCTCATCAACATTGGCGCTGAAACTCTTTGGAAAACATGTAGGTTTTGTAGAAAAAACGGTTGATCTTTACAATATGGTAACTGATAGTTTGGCGACATTTTGGAGGCGATAAAGGTTACTACCTGGGACTTTGGTAATAATGTGAGCAGTACTCAGTTCCGATTACGCATTATTTTGTGTGGGGGAAATGAGAGATTATGGGATATGTCTTGTGATATTAATGGACGAATTACTGTTCTTTAATCGGGAAAAAATCTGGCAATTTTGTATTTGGCTTTATTCTGTGTTGTGTGAAATAGTTTTGGATCCCACGGCCATAACTAAAGTGAATTCGAAATGGGTATTTAGTGGTATTGAAAAGGATAGTAATAAATGTTTTTTAAGGTTGTGCGAGAGAGAAATAAAGATGTTTTATTATGTTATTTATTTTACCTGGTATCTAGCTTTGAAAGATAAGTATGATTTTAAAGATTCTGAAACAGAAGGAAGAAAAGTGTATCCGCCACGTAATCAAGATTCTGAAGAAGATTAGGTAAGTTAGTATTTTTAATTATTTGAGGATATTATTTTTATGCATTGTTGTAAATGTATGTGGAAAGGAATTTGGTATTATTGGGAAAATTGTTATTAGCAATGATTTAGTTTAAAGTAATTAGGATTGTAAGGTAATTTTTATTAATTTAATGTATGTGCTCATTTATATTTTAAGTAGTGTTTTTTGAATTTAATTATATTTTAATGAAATGATAGTCATTTTGTGAATTTTATGTTTGTAGAATTTGGTATACGTTTAAGTTGAAATAAACGTGCATGGAAATAATTTAAATATTTGATATTAAGTATTTGTAATGCTTGCGGTATGAATTCGTTGGTGACGTGTATAATGTAATAGATGATTTAGAGGTAAAAGTTTTTGGATATTCTATTTATTTTATATGTGGAAATGTTGATATTTGTAAAGGGTAAATACTTTTTCGCGATCATGTAATTTCATATATGTTCTTTTTATTACCGGGTTTAAAGATTGAGAAAATTGTCATGTATTTTCGTGAAATTTTTTTAATTTATGAGAAAAAAGCAGTGTACATGGATATAGTGAAGAGTGTGCGCAATGCCATTTTTGTGCAATTCTGGGATATTTTTTTAAGTAAAAATAAGTCGGGGTGTACATGGTTTATGTGTATGTGTTATTTTGAAAAATGCGTAAGGAGGATGGTATTGTGCAGTTTTTCCTAATTTTGCAGTGAATATTTGTCATGATTAAGCAGTTTTGTTTGATAAAATTTCTAGCATAAGTGTAATTCGGCTAGTAGATTGTTGGAAGAAGTGTTCAGGACATAAAAAGAAAAGAAACATGTCTTTACTTCGTGAAGACAAAATGGCGGCGGGGGAAAAAAAATAGAGGGTTGCTGTAAAAGAGTTGGTCGCCAAATTTTCGCCAAAAAATCGCCAAGTTACCATAATGTAAAGATCAACCGAAAAAACATTATTTCACAGTAATTTAATTGATAACCACTACGGAGAAAGGAATGTTTTACACTTTTTTAGAAAGCACTTCTGCAGAGAATCCGGTAAATGTAAACATCGGCAACTTTGGCGATAATAGTTCAAACCTGGTAACCTATCGGATTCATTCTATTCGCTTGTTTGAAGGTTGCAACCATTCCTTTTGCGTTCTTTTTGTTGAATTATCACTGTCGTTGTTCGCATTTGGAGATTTATATTCTTCTCTTATTTATTACTATTTTTTAACAACGAATGGATAGAAATATTTTCGTATAATTAAAGAAGTTTCCATCGATAGATGCCGGTTCTCGGCTCCAATTTTTATGGCATAAAATTTTAACAAGATACTATATTGTTAATGCTTTTCTAACAGTAACCTTTCAGAGGATGTGACATAAATTGCTGATTAAATTGAAATAAAAAATATTATTGATTATCTAAGATGACAGAGTAGTTTGATGCATCCCCATGGTCATCAAAAATTAGCAAACCACTGCTGGTGTAAGGAATACAGTTTAAATAACTCTTGAAAAATAATAAAATGTATAAAGTTTTAGTCACAATGCTACTGAAGAAAATTTGATTACTGTTTAAGGTTATTTGTAGTGTGAAATATATTATGAAAAAGACAGGTTCATTTTCGTATATCACGTTTAACCGGTTAATTTTACTTGCTTATTATCTGTAAAATTTTACCATCATATGCTTAATATATTGTTTTGTCTGCTAACTTGAATTTACATGCACTAAAAATCAAGTTTACGGCTCGGCTCATCGGAGCTTGGCAAGTAAAAATTGCAACTGTGCCAACACGTTCTTTCTCGAAGTGCCAACGGGTTCTCTGTGGATGAAAACCCCTTTTTTACAGAGCGCTGCGAACGTGCAGCCACTTGCCTCGGTGATATCTTCAATTTTTCTCTGGGATTTTTTTTTTTAAAGTGAAAATAGTCGACGTGTGCATGGATGAAGTTAAAAGAGTATGCAATGCAATTTTTGTGCAATTTGGGGATGTTTTTAAGTGAAAATAGGTCGACGTGTACACAGATAAAGTTGAAGGAGTGAGCAATGCCATTTTTGTGCAATTCAGGGTTTTTTTTAAAGTGAAAATAAGTCGATGTGCACATGGATACCGAGTTTGTGCAATTGTTTGTCTTGTTATTTTGGTTTTGTGTAGAGGCGATTTATGGCGCAAAAATCGCCGCTTCGCAAGCCAAAATAACGAGTCAAAGAATTGTACAAAACCGGTATGCATGTACCGACAAAAATCGCCAAGGGGTACCCTAAACTATACTTTTACCCAAGTATCATTTCCTTACGGCACACTGTCATACAATATTATGTTGTTGATATATGGTTGCACTGTTAAATAAAGATCTGATAAAAAGTATAATTAAAAAATACAGACTGCCTTTAATAACAAGGAAATCATAAAACAGTTTGACATATTCTAGAAATTATTTCTAATTTCCACAAAAACGTTTCTCCACAACATGACGATCCAATTCACACTTTGACTAGTTAAATTTACTCTCTAAAATGAAAAACTATGAAGCAGACAGAAATAAGAAAAAAACGATGATGAGGAAATAATATAGTCTACTAGGAAAACAGGAAAGAAAAGTAGTTTAGGTTATAATTATTTCATGCATAAAAATCAGTGAACGTGTTCATTATATTGGCTTACAATATCTCGGAATCTTTAGGTTCCTCGTTTCCTTGCTTCAAGTTTTCAGATACATCTCCGCCTGCTTTAGAGTCCATTTCATTTCTAACTGGCCCATTTTCACTGGGATTCTCAGTTAATGTTTCTACAAGACTATCAACACCATTACCCTCTTCCGCCATGCTTAATTCTTTCTCTCCCTCAATTTACCGAGCTTTGAAGTAATGCCATTTTTGTATACAAAATACATCCTTCAGTGTTTATGCAGTAATTAATATATATATATATATACTCTTCAGCGTTTACACGTAATTAATAGGTATATTTAAATTAATTTCAAATGTTATTAATTAAAATGATTTATTAATTAAAATTTTTATTTTCCATTGAATAATATCAGCATATAAATTTCTTTTTAATTATTTATTTAGGGCATTATTGCATTAAAATGATCGAAATGCCTCCAGAAATGGAAGTTATTTATTCGTATTTTAATCTATGAAATCTTTTGTTTCTTCCTTTTTACATTTTACTCAACACTTACCAGTGAAGGATTGCGACGGCTCTGCTCAACTTACTCATGTCATATTCCGGGGAAATGTAATTCTAAATTCCACAGTGAGTGCGTTTAACCATTCGCAACAAATAATGAGTGATATGGTATTCATGAGTGGAAAAGATGTAATTCTTCTGAAGTTTTCTATATCATGTATGCAGTGTTATGATGTTGGTTCATTTGTTTAGTACCGTTTTGAGTGTGACATTGCTCATCTGTTTATTCCGTTTTAGTCAGCAGTGTTACATTGGTGAGAAAGTTTATAATACTTTATTGAAAATTACGTAAATAATTATTTCGATTAAGTTGTATTTAAGTGAGTTAAAGTGAAACCTCGTTTCACGAATTTACGTTGTTCTTGAAGCCCGTTCATCAATCAAAATGTTCGTAAGCCAATAATACACAATTTTCATTAAAGGATTTTTTAAAAGTGGATTAATTCGTTCTTGTACCACAGATTATTATTTATCTAAACATTACAACAGTACTTTGCCCATAAGTTTATAACCTCAAATCGATTGTATTTATTAAATACAAAAATTATAAACTGTATAAGCAGTTAAAATAGATGAAAAGTTTACTTTAAGTGTGCAAAGTAGAGTGTACATAGGAGACCATATAACTAGAAAATCAAAAAGGGGCTAATCTTTGGAATATGGTAACAGGTAGTTTGGCGACATTTTTGGTAAGGCGATAAAGGTTACTAGCTAGGACTTTAGCAGTGTACATGGATAAAGTCGAGTGTGCGCAATGCCATTTTTGTGCAATTCTCGGATGTTTTTTTAAGTGAAAATAGGTCGATGTGTACATGGATACCGTGTATGTGCAATTCTTAAACATGTGGCAAGCAGTAGGCAATTCTGCACTTTCTCTCAATTTCGAACCTAATCTTCGTCATAATTAAGCACTTTTGTTCCATAAACGTTCTAGCATAAGCGTAATTTGGCTATCAGATTGTTGGAAAAAAAAATGTTAAGTTAAAAAAAAAAAAAAAAAAAGCCTTTACTTCTTGAAAACAAAATGGCTTCAAAAAAAAAAAAAAAAAAAACTAGCAGGTTGCTGTAGTAGCAGGGTTGGTCGCCAAAAAATCGCCAAGTTACCATAATCCGAAGATTAACCCAAAAAGGGTCAGAGATATTTAGGGTTAAACTTGACTCTTCTATTGGAACCACTAATCTGCACTGGAGGTATAGTGCCATTTGGTTTTACTGTAGGAGTCTGCTCAGGAACCGATGGTATGATATCTGAAAGTAAAAATGCTGTTTCAGACAGTTCAGTGCTGATGACAGATTCTAGTGCTACTTTGGTAGACGGTTGCACGGATTTTTGGCGATTTACGTTGGCGCGATTTTTACAAACGTCAGCCATCTTGAAAAACGCTGTTTTTACGCATAGTATAGTATTCAAAACTTAAAAAAAAAAAAAAAATATCGTTAAAAGTAATGGATTAATTTTTTGTTGAAAATGTCGCTTTTTAAGATGGCAGCAAGGGTAAATAAATACATTTACTATGAGTAAAAAATAGTAAAGTAAGGTAACTATTACTTTCATATAGCAAAGAGAATAAAAACACCGCTATAAAAACATTGTGCCAACGTTTAATTAGATTAAAATATTACTGAAATTGAATATCGAATTAAAAACCATCATGCCAACATTTAAAAGAATTAGAATATAATTAAATTCAAATACTTTAAAATACGTTATATAGAATGTAATTAACATTAAAACATATGAACAATAATTATCTCAGCAATTTTTGAAAATAGTGTATTAATTTTTCAACAAAAAATTGAAGTATACAATTATAAAATAAAGGAAAAATATGTACTTACATTTTTTTAGTCATTTAACCTATTGCTTATTGATAAGTACCACAAAAAAATTGGAATCATAATTTAAATAACATCTTTGAAGACATCTTTCAAGGAATTCGAAGATATGAATTAAATTTTAAAACGGCACGGAAATGCACAAATTTTCAGTAACCAATCAGGGAGCTGATTATAGCTCGTTAATGCACAATTATTCTATAACCAATCAGAGAGCTTATTACATCACGCCTATAATTAAAATTATTTAAAAATTCATACATAATAAAATAATTTTTAAAAAAAATGAAAAATTAAATTGTATTTTAATATTTAACAGCCATAAATAATGTTTAAAACATTAGATTAAATGGTTGATCTTTAGATTATGGTAACTTGGCGATTTTTTGGCGACCAACTCTCCTACAGCAACTTCTATTTTTTTCCCCGCCGCCATTTTGTCTTCACGAAGTAAAGACATGTTTCTTTTCTTTTTATCTACTGAACACTTCTTCCAACAATCTACTAACCAAATTACACTTATGCTAGAAATTTTATCTAACAAAACTGCTTAATCATGACAAATATTCACTGCAAAATTGGGAAAAAGTGCACAATACCATACTCCTTACGCGTTTTTCAAAATAACACATACACATAAACCACGTACACGTCGACTTATTTTTACTTAAAAAAACATCCCAGAATTACACAAAAATGGCATTGCGCACACTCTTCACTATATCCATGTACACTGCTTTTTACTCATAAATTAGAAAAATTTCACGAAAATACATAACAATTTTCTGAATGTTTAAACCCGGTAAAAAGAACATGTATGAAATTACCTGATCGTGAAAAAGTATATACCCTTTCCAAATATGAACATTTCCACATATAAAATAAATAAAATATCCAAAAACTTTTACCTATAAATCATCTATTATATTATAAACGTCACCAACGAATTCATACCGCAAACATTACAAATACTTAGTGTCAAATATTTGAATTATTTCCATACACGTTTACTTCAACTAAAACATATACCAAATTCCTACAAACATAAAATTCACAAACTAACTATCATTTAATTAAAATATAATTAGATTCAAAAACACTACTTAAAATATAAATAAGCACATACATTAAATTAATAAAAATTAGCTTACAATCCTAATTACTTTAACCCGCGAGCACACGTACTGATCCGACGAACACAAGAACATGTGCCGGGTATGTCATACCCGAATAAAATGTTAGTAATTAAAAATTTGCCGAATAAAATTAATCGGTTTTTAAAAGAAATTAAAATGTAAAACCAAGTTAATACTTCATTTTAGACAAAATATGAAAGAATAAGGAGAGGTAAGATTATTTACTTACAATCTTTTTAACATTATTTACAAAATGAGGTCATATGTTCCATACATATACTTTTGCTACAATTTTCACAAATGAACCTAGTCTTTCTATTTTTTCTCTTGGGGCAATCTGTACACCTCTTGTAAATAATTTTAGGTTTTTTGGGGGATGGTTCATTGTGTTAACATGTTCAACGGTGGTAAGTGTTTGTCTAGAATCAGGAACTACAGATGTTCGTCGTCGTTCATTTTTAACTTTTTATTAGATGCATCCCTAAGGCTTTGAGAAAAGTACGCCTGGTACGGTATTCCGTTGGTGGTTCCTTCTTTGATAGTAGAATTATTCTTGCATTAATGGCAGCCACGTTTAACACTGAAAAAGAAAATCATCATAGGCCATCGACGTGCTACTCTTGCTGTAGCCATCTCATCTACAACATCGACTGCTCCTTTTGTCATGTTATAGAATGTAATGATTTCAAACTTTTTAAATTCCCCAGTAGATTCATCGATTTGATCATCGAATGCATTGTGGATAAACAGGATCACAATCTTATTTTTTTCAGGCACATAAGATACAAGTGTTGTTTCTTTCTAAAAACCGAAAATTGAAGAAAATACTTCTCTTTTCTTTGCCAGAAACTCAGGTGGGATTTTTCTCTTATTTTTATTCTTATTTTTTCTTATTTCTTCTACTGGGACGATCTCTAATGTCATCAAAACGGAGGCATCGTAAAAGAAACAGGAATCGGTTCACTGACATTGTTTCCCAAAATATGTCCATACCCGTTCCGTCTGTTGCCCACAAATCTCTTCGTTCACATGGGATGATTTATAAACTCCACATAAATACAGCAATTTGTTGCTTTCGCATCCCGTTCCGTACTGAATCAATATAAATATTTGTATTGTATGAACTACATATTTTAACATACTATCTTCATCGATAAGCAGTGACCAAGGAATCTAAAGCTGTTGAGACGTCTTTAGAATACTTCGTATTTCCAGGGAGTTTAGTTATAATATTTTTGGCGCCAATTCTAACATTAGTCCGGAATGTTATTTTTGTTCCATTTTTACTCCATTTTTTCCAACATAAAACTCATTGCTACATTCCAAAGTTTCATTTTCTGGTTTCTGTATCTGAATCACTACTCTCTGGATGAATCATGATTACTATATATTCTTTGTCATCAACATCTTCATCGTCTTCACTAAATGAATCCTCATCAGAAGAAACTGTTTCAAGAAGATTTCTCAATCTTTTCATCTCTTCGTAAGGAATATACGGCGCCATGCTTACAACTCAAGAAAAACCTATACTAAAAGCTTGAAAACAAGAAGTGCGAAGTGACTCGTTGAGAAACGCGAGTACACGCGCGGGTATGACATGAACAGTGATGTTCCTAAAAAACCTTTGCACCTGTCACCTCAGGAATTTCCCCTATTTAAGTATGTGACCTTGAACTCAGCTACATCAAGTTTCGTCCTTTAATGAAAGAATAGGTGAGAAATATACAAAAAGAAAAATGCACATGGGTATGACATACCCGTTGCGTGTGCTCGCGGGTTAAACTAAATCATTGCTAATAACAATTTTCCCAATAATACCAAATTACTTTACTTCCACCTTACATTTAGAACAATGCATAAAAATTATATCCTCAAATAATTAAAAATACTAACTTACCTAATCTTCTTCAGAATCTTGATTACGTGTCCGATAAGCTTTTCTTATTTCTTCCACTAAATAAAAAGCAAGCATATGTGCGCCTGTTTCAGGATCTTTAAAATCGTACTTATAGTTCACAGCAAACCAAAGTTATAGTTCACAGTTATTACCAAAGTCCCAGGTAGTAACCTTTATCGCCTCCAAAATGTCACCAAACTACCAGTTACCATATTCTAAAGATCAGCCGATTAAATTTATACATATAAAAACCAATTACTTTTAAAGTAAGGTGATGTCATTGGTTACATCATCCACAATATAAAATTTCATAAAATATGATAAACAATAAAATTTTTATTTCAAATAAAAATGCAAAATTAAATTGATTTTTAATATCTAGAAG